ACTACAAAATATATGTTGGGGTAGTAAGGGTGTCACAAAGATGCCTACCCACTGCCTAACATCGACCAATTGGTCGACGGGGCGGCTGGACACAAGCTGCTGACTTTCCTGGATGCCTATTCCGGATATAACCAAATCCGGATGCACCCGCAAGATGAAGAGAAAACAGCCTTCATCACTAAATCGGATAATTACTATTATTAGGTAATGCCTTTCGGTTTAAAGAATGCTGGGGCCACTTATCAACGGTTGATGGATAAGACCTTCAAGTACCAGATCAGCAAAAATCTGGAAGTATATGTGGATGACATGGTCGTCAAGTCAAACGATCTTGGCACTCATATAGACGACCTCGCTGAAGTCTTCCAACAACTTCGAAATCACAACATGAGGCTAAATCCTGAGAAATGCATTTTTGCCATAATCAGGGGTAAATTTCTGGGCTTCATGTTGTCGGCCAGAGGCATCAAAGCTAATCCGGACAAGTGCCAGGCAGTCATTGGAATGACGAGTCTGCACAACATACGAATTTACTAAGGAGACCTAGCTCTAGATACCAAATTGTGGAAACTAGAGTAGAAACTGGATTGTGGTTGATTCCTCTTCAAGCTTCTCCCTAGACCTTTGGCTCCTTAATATTCTCCAAAGCTTCCATGATTTTCACAAAAAATTAGTGAACAAATTTAGTGACAGCTTTGTGACTAATTTAGTAACTGATTTGGAGCCCTTAGTACTCTTCCTCGCAATTTCGTCGCAAAATTCCGTGTCTAAGGTGCAATTTTCGCTTGCTAGAACAGTGCTCTTGGAAATCCGTCTCTAATCTGGTCGCTAATTCTGTCTCAACTAGTACTAGAATCTGTTTTCTGAAATCCGTCTCTAAGTCCGTCTCTAAATCTACCACCTAAAACAAAAAAAAAATTTCTTGGCTGCAAAATGAGCGAACAAGAGAGCCTTTCCAAAGTGCTTCACTTAAGGATTTTATTACCTCAATCTTTATGGCCTCTTTGAGATGAATCCAATGTGTCTCAATTATCCATTCCTTTTCAAGTGTAATGACTTGAAAATGGAACTAACTTCAGGAAGGCTTAACAACCATCAAGAAAATTTGGAGTCCAATAAAATCAAAACTAAAAATGCACAATTAGAAGAGGCTAAACTCAAATATGATTTATTGTGACAAACTCAAAGAAAGCTAACAAAGACACAAAGCAATAATTAAGGGACAATTTCAACACTAGCACTCAAAGGAATAGTCTTAGGAATGGCTCTAGAGTTGATTAGAAAATCAAAGCAAAATTTGTGCTATTATTTTGAGTATTTAGAAATGTTTTTCTAGCCACTGGACAACAATTAAACCTTAAAGAAAATCGCACAAAATTTCAAGGCCAAGTGCTTTAAACTTGTTTTGTTTTTTTTTACTTTCCTTTTTCTAGCTTTTGCTTTTGTCTTCTTTTTATTTTGTTGCCTTCTTGGCTCTTTCTTTTCTTTTTATTTTTTTATACAGAAATGAGCACTTAAAAATAGAGGCCAAACAATTATATAAGAGGTTTCCAAGTGGTGGAGAAAAGTGGAATAAGAAGTGTACACCTTTGATTTTCGTTTTTCTTACACTTCTTACTTTGTTTTGTTTTTTCAAAATAAGCACACAAAGACACAAGGAATTGCTGGCCTAAGATTTTTAAGAATCAATTAGCAATTAAAGTTCACAAAAATTGACTCTAGGACATGTTAGGTTTAATAACATGCATAGGAATGATTCAGTGAGAACTTCTAAGATTTAATACATGTCCACCTAGCAATAATATCACACAAAACACAGGTTAATGTATTTAGATTCAAAAATAAAAAAGGCACACAAGTGATTTAATGACAAGTAAAGCAACTACACATGACTCAAAGACAAAACTAGGAGATGAAGAAATGAAAAATGCTTACTAGTCTAGTTTCTTTTAGGAGTTTCTTTCTTACCAAAATATTAGGAGTCCAAGCAAAGATGAAAGAAAACCTAAAACATTAAAAGAAGATACAAAGAATACCTAAAGGCACACACAAAGATTGATTCACAAGAAGTGGTGTATGGATCAAAACAAGCAAGACATAGTGATTTGTTCTATAGATTTATAGTTGTGACACAAGAACAATTCAAGGCACATAATACACAAGACAATAAAGGAAAAAACAAGTGGAAACAATTTTAGAGGCAATATTACATGCTTTGACCAAAAAAAATTGAAAGAAAAGCTTAAGAACGAATTTACTAAGGAGACCTAGCTCTAGATACCAAATTGTGGAAACTAGAGTAGAAACTGGATTGTGGTTGATTCCTCTTCAAGCTTCTCCCTAGACCTTTGGCTCCTTAATATTCTCCAAAGCTTCCATGATGGAAGCATGCCAAGGAGGCCAAGAGGTGACATACTCAACATCAATCCGGGTTTCTCAACAAGTTTTCCATCATCAAGGAAGTACAAAAATTGGCCAGACGGCTAACTTCGCTCTCTCGGTTCCTTCCCTGCCTTGCTGAAGTAGCGAAGCCCATTATCGGACTGCTAAAAAAGAAAGTAAGTTCGATTAGTCGACAAAGTGTGAAAAAGCTTTTTAAACGCTCAAGCAACGACTCGGCTCACCTCCGGTCCTTTCTAAACTCGATCCTAATCTAAACATGGTGGTATATCTATGTGTTTTAAATGAAGCAATTAGTGCTGTCTTAGTGCAAGAAAAGATTCACAAAAACCGGTATACTTTGTCATTCGGATGCTTCAGGAATCCGAAGGGAGATATCAACTTTTAGAGAAGGTGGCACTCGGTTTGGTTCACACCGCTTGATGTCTCCGACAGTACTTCCATAGCCATCGGGTTGCAGTGCGTACTGATTGCCGAGTCACCAAAGTCTTGAGAAAGCCTGAATTAGCATGATGCATGGTGGCTTGGTCGATCGAACTATCCGAGTTTGACATATCATGCGAGCCGAGAGGCCCGGTCAAGTCACAATGCCTCGTTGATTTCATAAATGAGTTGCAACTGATAGGACACTTTGAGAGTGACCTATGGACGATGTGTGTTGATGGCTCGTCTAACAAGCAAGGCAGCAGAGCTGGAATACTCCTCGAAGGACCCACGAGTCTCGCGCTCGAACAATCTCTTCATTTTGCGTTTAAAGCATCGAATAATCAAGCTGAATACGAGGTGATACTGACAAGGTTAAGGCTAGCAAGAGAAGTAAGTGTTCAAAAATTGGTATGCTGGACTGACTCAAAGGTCGTCTCGAAACAGGTAAATGGTAACTTCCAAGTCAAAGATGCCTACTTGTTAAGGTATTATCATACTTTTCGAGACATGTGTCAAAACTTTGATGAAGTAACGGTGAAGCACACACCTCGTGAGAATAATGAAAGGGCTGATCAGTTGGCACGATTGGCTACTAGCAACCAAAAATCCAGGAAACTCAGAACTACCCTTCATTTTGAGCTTTCCACCCCGAGCATCGATAACACCGAGTGTCTAGAAGTTGCCGAAAAAACAACAACGTGGATGAACGAAATCTTACGCTTCATCACTGAAGGCACGGAACTAGCATGCCCTTCAACGGCCAAGAAGCTGCGAACCCAAGCTGCAAGATACTCAGTGGTGAGTGGTGAGCTCTACAAGAGAGGCTTCTCATCTCCGTTACTTAAGTGTGTCAACTCGGAACAAGCTGATTATGTCTTAAGGGAAATCCATGAAGGAATTTGCGGTTCTCATTCGGGTGGAAGGACTTTAGCAGCCAAAGTGCTAAGAGCTGGCTATTATTGGCCAACCCTCAAATTTGATTGCATGGAGTTTGTCAAACGATGCATCCAATGTCAGAAACATGGCAACCTAATTCATTCATCGACCGAACAACTGCATAACATCAACTCGCCTTGGCCATTTGCCCTATGGGGAATGGACATACTTGGACCGTTTCCCATTGCTAAGGGTCAATGCAAATTCTTGCTGGTAGCAATTGATTACTTCACAAAGTGGATCAAGGTCGAGCCACTTGCCACAATCACAACGAGGAACGTTCAGAAGTTCATATGGAAGAATATCATCACACACTTCGCTCATGCGATAGTAACGGACAACGGTCTATAATTTGCAGACCAGAAGCAAAACAAGTTCATACAAGACCTGGGAATCAGACACTGATTCACATTGGTTCAACACCCACAAGCCAATGGACATGCCGAAGCCGCAAATAAGGTGATCCTGTCGAAACTGAAAAAACGATTAGGAGATGCCAAAAGAGCCTGGGCCGAAGAGTTGTTGGAAGTACGAAATGGACGCCATGATCCCGGTCGAGGTACGAGAACCTTCTTTTCACCGATTACATTTCGATGAAGCCTCCAACGACATGTCGCTTAGAGCAGAAGTCGATATGGTTGACGAAGTGCACAATAGGGCTTAGATCATTGCCGAAGCCTGCAAGCAGAGAATGACTCGGAGGTTTAATTCCAATATCATCAAGAGAAACTTCAAAGAAGGAGATTTGGTATGGAGAGCGCAAAGATTGGTCAGGAAGAACCCAAGGGAAGGTAAGTTGGCAGCTAATTGGGATGGACCGTTTAGAATTTGGCAGAGCCTGAGAAATGGAGCATACAAGCTAGAGGAACTATCGGGTAAAGCCATCCCTCGAACATGGAATTTAACACACCTGAAGACTTATTATAGTTGAATGTTGAGGACCTTTTCTATTGTATATGTAATGATGTATATACACGAAGATGCACTCTTTTCCTTGATCGATCTTTTTTCCCCTTATAAAAATGTGAAAAGGGGTTTCGGCCGACAAGGTTTTTAACGAGGCATCATTTAATGACAATCCACTTTCGCTCAACAATCTTGTTCTTAATCAATTGCTTAAGAATGAATATATAAGGCTTCCCTCCCGAGTGACCCACTCGGCCAAGGATGTGCCTTCGACATTCACTCAACAAGGTTTCCCTCCCGAGTAACCCGCTCGACCAAGGACATGCTTTCAGATTTTTTCACTCAAGGTTTCCCTCCCGAGCAACCCGCTCGGCCAAGGATGCACCTTTCAGATTTTTCCACTCAAGGTTTCCCTCCCAAGCAACCTGCTCGGCCAATGATGCACCTTTCAAATTTTTTTTCACTTAAGGTTTCCCTCCTGAGCAACCCGCTCGGCCAAGGATGCACCTTTCAGATTTTATCACTCAAGGTTTCCCTCCCGAGCAACCCGCTCGGCCGAGGAGGTACCTTCGGAATTCACTCACAAGGCTTCCTTGTCGAGTAACCCCACTCGGCCAAAGATGTGCCTTCAGTTTTCGCTCAAAAGGCTTCCCTGCCGAGTGACCCCTCTCAGCAAAGGTATACATTCGGTTTTCGCTCAAAAGGCTTCCCTGCCAAATGATCCCTCTCAGCAAAGGTATACCTTCGGTTTTCACTCAAAAGGCTATTGCCGAGTGACCCCTCTCAGCAAAGGTATACCTTCAGTTTTTGCTCAAAAGGCTATTGCCGAGTGACCCCTCTCAGCAAAGGTATACCTTCAGTTTTTGCTCAAAAGGCTTCCCTGCTGAGTGACCCCTCTCAACAAAGGTATACCTTCAATTTTCGCTCAAAAGGCTTCCCTGCCGAGTGACCTTTCTCAGCAAAGGCGTACCTTCAGTTTTCGCACAAAAGGTTTCCTCCCTGAGTGACCCCACTTGGCCGAGGAGGTACCTTTGGAATTCACTCACAAGGCTTCCTTGCCGAGTAACCACACTCGACCAAGGATGTACCTTCGATTTTTTCTCAAAAGGCTAACCCTCGATTCACTCGCTCGGCCAAGATCCTGCCTTCGGTTTTCTCAAAAAGACTACCCTGCCGAGTCACTTTCTCGGTCAAGGTTACGCCGTCGGTCCAAAAAAAATGCAGTTAAGTGTTATATTTATAGTCTGAAGTCTCAACACATTCAATTCGGCAAAATGATTCTTTCATTTCAAAATAAAAGGCTCTATCGACCCCTATTACATTCGACAAACAAAGGCCCTTATCGGCAAACAAAAACTTGACCAAAGCAAAAAGAACCTAACCTACCCTAAGAGCCTTCATCGGCCCAAACATACAAATGACAGCCTAGTCCTTAGGGTTCTCGGCATCGTTCTCCTGATTGTTGGCATCCTCCTGATCAGGATTTTGCTCTTCTTGCTCGTCTTCGGCTTCCACATCAGTGGCAACCTGATATCTTCCTCCAGCTCGGGGGCAGCGCTCAACTCATCAACATCGGGGTTTTCCTTCTCCGGCATGTCCCTGAACGACATGAAGGACCCTTGGTTAAAGTCTTGGCCCATGTCGAATTCAAAATCCTCCCGGAATCGGCCAAATTACTTTGCTTTCCGAATGACATGTCAGAACCCGGTTTCATGTTGAGTAACAATACGCTCTTTTGCTTGTTCTTTAAGCCAATCAAGCTCGACCTTGGCCTCTTCCAATCGACGTTGCTCCTCGTTGGACGCCTTCTGAAGATCCAGCCGAAGAGTGTCATTCTCATGCCTTATTGTATCTAATTCAGCAGCGAGCTCTCGGTTCTTTGCCATTAAGTCCTCTTTCTTCGAAAGGGCTTTGGCAGTAGCCTTGTCGGCCTCCTCAACCCCCTGCTTCAAACGCATCAGCTTGCCAACTGGTTCCATAACAAGGTGATGAGAAAACGCCAACGAGCGTGCTTGCACCTCACAAAAATACTTCCATTTGGATACCGTATCCAACCGATCCTGGAACTCCTGACCAAGGTCCGACACTGCATCTGGCCGAATCAGGCTATCGGCGGACATGTCTTCACTAAAAAATGCACGAGACATCAGAGTGGGGGGAACCACAATGACGGTCAGTGTTGGCAAGGGCTCTGCGGTTTGCTTCAACTTTTTTGACTTGTCAGGTCGTTCCTCGTCTCCTCTTCTTTTTTGGACCTCCCGATCAATTCCTTTTCCCTTTCTTACCCTTTCGATGCTTGCGATCCGGGGAGGGGGGAACTCGATTGTCTTGTACTGATCGGGGAGTGCGGGCAACGGCCGAACTACCACCAACTACTCCGAATTTCCTAGCCTGTTGTATTTGACCGACCAGTAAATTCTGAATGTTGAACTCGTCGGCACTGCTGGACACCATGATTCTTGCAAAAACGAGCAAGTGAACATCAATACGAATTTAGCGCACGGCCGAAATAGGACAGATAACATACCTATCAAGTCGTTCTCCCACTGAGGGGATTCAATCAAGTTGATGAGGGATCTTGTCGACAAACGCCGAGGGAGACGAAGTAACAACTTCAAATCTCTTCGCTCTTCGGCCGTGAGTAGCTCTTTCGGCACAATATCATACGGCCGAGGGGCGCGCGTCTAGTAAAATGGAAATAAACTCTTATCGTTCTCGCCACAAAAGAAGCGTCGTCCGTTCGGGCGAATGGTCACTCGGAAGAATCAAGCTTTAAAATTCTTGTAAGAGGAGGTAAAGTTGTCTAACAATTGCTAATCCCCTACTTGGCTTAGAGACACCCACTTCGCCAAGTTGGATGGTTTGGACAAGTAGAAGTGCAAAAAAAGAAGTGGCGATGGCCTAATGCTAAGACATCGGCACAAGTGCTTGAAGCCTTGTACTTGAGCCTAGCTGTTCAGATGTAATTGTGTCGGAGCCTCGTTTAAAACTCTTAACACGCCCATGATAAATTCGTCAAATGGTAGCTTCACCTTGAGATCTCGAAAAAGGCAGTCATAAATGTAGAACGAATCCATCTTCGGGGTGTGCTAGTCCATACAAACCATGTCGAGGTTGGGAAAGGCGCTGTTTCGGAAAGACCGAACACCGATCAGATAGGGCTCTTCCGTGGCCTCAAAAGTAAGGAACTTG